TGGAAAAGTTTAATGATACTGAGTTCTTTCTAAAATTGCTATTAAGACATCAGGAGACATCTCTTCTTCCTTTTATTTCCAGTCCTGTCCTCATTTCCAACTGTATAACTTTCCAGGAAAATCTCTGCAGTTGCCTGGCTGTAACAGTCCCTTTCTGTTTACGAGTTTTACTTTCTGTGTCATGTCTGTAACAAGGAGTGAGTGTTTGAGGGAATGATGGCCATTAATTAGGTCTTAAATCCTTCCCCATAGCAAGGGAATTTTAGAGGAGGGTATTGCTTTTTTGTGCAAAGTGTTATCTCAGTTCTTCACAACATTAAATGAAAGTAATAGGATAAGTAATCCTTTTAAGAGTGTGAGGACAAGAGGTAGGTAGAGTTCTCACTTTCTGACTACTATATCACATTCAACACAGACTGTGACTATATTTATGTGGTTTTAATTGATTAGTAATCATACATTCATTGCACTGGAGTATTTTGCTGTAAGAACTGACTTTGCCTAACTGGCAGGTGAAAGAACCCTAAATATATAGGGATTGTTCATTTAGAGACTATCTCCAGCAGTGAGGTCTTGATATAGGAAAACCCTCTGAATTCTCTTTCTCTCAGGATAAGCACCCCATGAGCTGGCATGCTGAAGAAGTGTAGTGTTGTTTGCAGGAATTAGTAATCCTTATGGAGACAACGAGGCATGTCTGATGTGTGTACAGCATTAGAGCTACCCCGTCATCCTCTTAGCAGTTTCACTGACATCACCGCTGAAGTGGAAATTAAGGACTCTTTACTCCACTATAAAGTTCACAGATTTTTCTGAATCATTTCTCTGCCTGTTTGTGTTTTTTTTTTTTGGTATCAGAATTGAAGAGGATGCTCCACCACACAGACAGTCTGGCTGCTCAAAGGTACGTTTTTCTCCCTGGAAATACAGAATATCCCTACTTTCAAAAGGGAAGAATTGCTTGTGACTCAGACAGGGTGAGGTAAAGCAGCAAAAATTACCTTTGACTGAGTGCACTCATTGTACCTACAGACGTATTGAGATGTGTCTGCCTTGTTGGATTTTCACCCAAAGTGTGCCTAAACAGCTTTCTGATCAGGAATAACCAAGTTTATCTTTGCAACATTTCCACAGGTATTATCAGTGCTTTCATTACCTTCAGTAGCCATGTCCTTAATTCACTTTTTCAAATATAATGGTGGATGGCATGTTAAAAAACAGAAAGGAAAATTCTGGCAGTATAAAACAGCGCTTCTGCTGCTTTGCTAAAGGATCCAACAGGAACAAGGGACTCTCAGTGAAAACAAACAGTGAGTTTCTGGAGCATAAAACACTGCTATATTATCATTCACTGATCACTGCTGTCATTGCTTTGGCAACTCAGCATAACCACGATGCCAACTCTTTTTTTTTTTTTAATTGCAAATTATTAGTCAAACTTTGCAGAGAAAATCCCTGGCAATTCCTTCACACTTATCAGCATGGCCTGAGGAGGGGACATTGCATACCTTGAGGAATTGTAAGTCCTAGATGATAGCATATGATAAAGGAAGAAGAACTTTGAAGAGAGAGGCCCTTGAGCAAGCATACATTTATTTTTCACTCAGAGTTACTATTCTCTTACCATTAGATTTTTGGCTCAGTTCCTCATTCCTTAAACACCTCATTCACATGCCAAAATTTGCAGTATATGTTTTTGTGTGCAAAATTATGCCAGATTATGTAAGAGACAACAAAGGCATCTGTATCTCAGAGCCGGTTTTTATTAATCAAGACTACAAATAAACCCAACGCGTGTGCACATAATATGTAGTGATACAGCCTTAATTTTAAAATATTTGGACTACTCTTACTACTGATACATATAAAGTGACAGTTTCTGGATAGTAACTGGTAGTAACTTCTATTATGGTAAGATTGTGATGAGACCTGTGGAATTCAAAGCACACTGGTGATATCAGGACGAAATTCCAGCTTGTCCTACAGTTACAGCTGTGATACAGCTCGTTATCTGGGCTGACCCAGCACACTGAATTATTAATGCCCCAGTTGGCCCAGGAATTCCAGTGAGATGGCTGAAGCACTGGCCAGTTTCCCAGCAAAGCAGCTGGTCAACAGTTACAGGAATTCTCCAAGTGGGAATTGTGGATAGTTTGGGACATTTTGCTGTGTAGCTTCTGCTATGCACACTCCAGTTAAGAGACACTAATTGTATACTGAAGATGTGTTGATTAATTCCCTTAGTGGACAACCTGTGTCTCAGGTATCTCCAAGGCAGCTCCTGCTGCTGAACTGACCAAACTGCAAGTAGATAATTTAAAACATCTGTAGAAAATGTTCTTGCCTGTGCAGAAAGGATCACATAGGACAGGCTTTTGTGCATAGCTAAGACTGTTATGTTTTGTACATACTGTGAGGTAATCAGAGACAGTGGATGATGCATATGCTGTTGTGGTCACCCAGGACCACAGGTCATCTGGCTTGTAAGAATCCAGCAACACAACAATTCAGCTGAAGATGCTGTTGAAAGGATGGTTGCAACAGAGACTCCCACTGCCACCAGGACAACTGGCTGTTCTCTTGGAGAGATCTGACTCCCCATGTGAACTTTACTGAGGGTTGTTTTGTTTTTTAATATACGCTCTTTCTATTTTTATGCAACAAGTTTAGCACACAAAACAACTCAACATTTTGGTACTTTCAATAAGGAAGAGAAGGGGAGGGAGAAAGGAGAGCAGAAAGAGACAAAAGGAAAAAAATAAAAAGAAACAAATAAATAGAAAGAAACCAGCCAGCATAGCAAACAAACATGGCATCTAGATGAATATCCAAAATTCTTGTATTGACATACCTGTGGTGATATAAAAGTATATGTTGTTTAATTTACCAGTATTTTAAGTAACTTTTGCTGCATAAGAAAATTTTATGTCTTCCTCTGGTTAACAGTCATTGTCTGGTTAAAAAACAAAGAGACTTGCTAATAGTTTGCAGATAATGTTTAATTAAAATTAATTTTTTTTAAAAACCATGTGTGTATCTTTGGGAGAAGTCATTTGGAAAGCTGAAGGCTATGCATTGCATATTTGAAGAGACTTTCTGTGTACTTAAATCCTTCAGACACTTGAGAGAGGGGGAAGAAGGGAGGTTCATAGTCAAGGAGTTATGGTACTTCAAAGATGTATAAGGAGTGAAAACTACAACTAGGTCTTCTGTTTCAGGTCCTCCCCATTGGTACCCTATTCCACCTTTGCCTCTTTTCTATACAATTTGCATTTAAGCCTTTTTAAATTATATGTGTGTCATACAGAAATATGTCTGTGCAGGTCTCCAAGCATGTATCTGGACTAAAACACAAAAGTATGACTGCAGCTTGTAGACACAGAGCTCAACTTGCTTACTCCAATGAGAACTTAAGTACAATATTGCACAGCTATAGCAGTGAGCAATCCCAGTGTGGGCTATGTAACCTTAGCAGGATCCTGAGTAAATTTTTGATCCTGTGTGACCTCATGGCAGCAGGGCACTGGTAAATGGGAAGCCAATATCTTCACCTTGGTTTTGCCCATCGCTGCTCACAAGGCATTTACCCTGATGCACAGTATGTTGCTGTGGTTGACAGCAAGAGAAATAGTCGAGAATTTGGAATAGGCATTTCAAACTGCATGAGGGTAAGTAACTTTGCATAGGAGAGCAGGCTTCAGCATCACTAAATCACGAGCTTTATAGTTGTGTGGTTGTAATTCCACTTGCTTTTGAGTAAGAGAGCAGTTTGTATCACAGCATTACTCATCACCCTGCAGGGCAAAGATCCCCATGAGGATGCCGAGGAGTTCCTGTGGTCTGTGAGAGCCTGGAGCAGCACAGGCTGACACACAGCAGAGCCAAGGGCTCCTTTCAGACTGTGCTGTGTGGGTGGAGGGGTCTTTCTGGATCCTGAAATCATCAGTGGGTGTTACACTGACTAACAAGAAAATACCTCATAATACATACAGAACATTCATTTAACACCCTAAATATGAGGTGGATACTGAGGATGGAAACTATCAAGATTTTGCTGCCAGAAATCCTGTGAAAACACTATTTAGCAATTCAAGTAAGTTCATGCCACTTTCTACTTAATGCTCGAGGGAACACCAGAGCTGGCAATCGGTAATTACTTCTGTGCAGAAACACAGTTTGACACACACTATTAGAATTTTTTAAGCGAGTTAAAAGAAAGTCTAATGGTTTCACAACAAAACCCCTTAAAGCATCCAGCTCTGAAAGAAGATGCACAACGTATTAAAAAAACTTTGAGTTCCTTATCAGTATTAGATGTGAGAAAGAGAGCAATTCCAAAAAGCTCAGACAGACAGACCTTACCTGTGCTAGGTCTTGTAACAGGCAGCCTTTTACAGTTACATACATAAAAACAACACACTGTGTTCCTTCTCTCAACCTGGGAGGTGAATGAATATCAACCTTTGCCACTTTCATCTCTTTGCAAGCAGACTCTTACTTCCATGAACATTTGTGTCAGTGTCAGTGAAAAAAAGAATAAACCTGAAGTCCTGTGATAAATGCAACCATGTGAAGACACACAGAAAAATGGGATCCAATTGTTCTGCTAACCCCCTGTGTAGAGGGGTACAGTTCCAGAACAGAAAGAATAAAATTCTCAATTCGGTACATGTGGAACACCTACACAGGCCTATTTTATAAAAACTCACGCAGAGAATATAGAGTTATATAAAAAGCAAGAGCAAAACAGACTGCTTATATGGATAACACAACAGATTTTCCCTCTGCTTTGAACGTCTGTATAGTTTATATATCTTGAACAAATGTTGTGACCTTTCTTATGCTCCATTGCTTTGTTATAACCAACAAGCACGATTTAAAATGACCACTGAATTTCCTGCTAAATTGACACAAGAAATATTTTTAATACTGCAAATCTTTAGTATAATTCATGCTAATCAAATTAAATCTCATGTCTGGCAGAGGGTTGTTTTTTTTACCTGAAACTGTGTGATCCTTTGGGTCTCTCAGTAGTTTGAGCCTTGTATGAGGGAAAATGTACTGCAGGGGCTTCCCATTTATCTGAGGAACACAAATAGGCATGTCATGAAAAGATAAATTAACAACAATTGTATCAATAATTTCAGACAGTTGAAACAGGAACAAGCAAAAAAACATATTTCATCCAGGAAAACATCATAAATTCACAATTCAAAAACACCCGCACGTTTCATGTTTTTCAGACTGCAAAATCCTTCTACAGGAGAATGAATATTTGTTTCCACAACTCCAAATGAATTTCAAATATGGCTTTAGTTCTGATTTTTCCTAATGACTAGAAGGTGGTCACTGTCTTCTGTAGTTTCTTTTACCATCAATTCTTTCTTTATTCAAGCAATGTTTAAGAGAAAAACGAAATGAAACACAATCGCTGTATTTTTTATAAAATTCTATTCATAGAGATCTAAACAAAATGTTGGTTGAATGTGTAACCAGCCATGAGTTACTGCTTTAGTTTCAGCAAAACCACATATTCCAATGTACCTCTTGACTTAAATTCCAAAAGCCTTTTGAAAGACCCAAACTAAAACTTGTAGAACAACATTCTATATGTTGCACAACATTTACCTGGGCTGATCTTAGAGGGTGACAAAGCTGAAAGCAATGCACCCCTACAATAGAATCTAAAGAGCCAGATTTCCTCTTGGGATGATCCCACCTGCCCCGTGGTTTGGGCATGGGAGAGCCATGCTGCAGGGACTGACCCACCTGCCAGGGATGACCATGCCTCTGCAGAAAGAGTGCTGGTTGCAACACACACCTCACAGCTTTCCCACACCCTCTTTGACTACAGTTTTGGTCTCTTGGCAGCAAAGCTGAACCCATCTCCTCTCTGCCTCTGACATGCTGGCTCCAAGTCTGGGTGCTGCATCCAGACCAAGAGGAGGGAGCACAACTGTGATTGCTCCAGGATGGGACCCTGGGGGTGCAGACTGAAGGAGCCTAAGGGACAATATTACTCAGTATGGCAATGCAGCAGCCTGAGTGTACCAGCAGCCTCCTGCCGAGAGTTTATGACTATTATTTATATTTAAGTAGCATTTAAAGGGATTAAGCTCCTCCTGAACTAAGCACTTCAAACCTAGTTTCTGCTCTGGAGAGTTTATGAAGTTAATGGATAAGCACACATAAAGGATGAGGAGGGGAAACAGAGAAGTCCAGAGACTCGCTTAGCTCAACCCCACAGTGAGCAGAAGAGTTTATACATCTATTGTTGTAATTCAGTTTCCCATCCAGTGAATGATGTTGCAGTTAGAAGGCTGAAATCCTCCCATAAAACACTGAGAGTAGTATTGAATGTAATTAATTTATGTCAGACATAAAGGAGATCATGGATCTGGTAGTGGACAAGTACTCTAGAATAAATCAGAGCATGAGATCACGTAGACATTTGAATTTATCACTGAATTTTGCCAGCACAAAGTCGAACACTACCAGAAGCGTACAAAGTGACATGAGGCTTCCACACTTATAAGTGGATAAGGAGAATGTTATGTTTTTAATGACCTTACCAGAAACTCATCAAGTGTAATATAACTGCAAAAGTAACATATTTGTCATGTTTAGCTTGCATTAAATTGTAAAAAATCTGGCAAATATATCTAATTTTCTTTGGAATTAAACAAAAAAAAATACAAATATTGCAGTTCACAAGAAGTGTATGAACACATTTAAATAGATCCTTAGTTGAGATCCATTTTGGTGGGAGCAATTCAATCTAACTGAGAAATACTGCAGCTCTTAAACTTCAATTCGTATTATTCTAATACTTCTATCTTATCTTTCTTTAGCAACATTTTTTTTGGATAAATAATAATCCGAGAATATTCAATGCCATATAGTACATGACTGCTGACAAATATGTCAGAAAATATATACTGCCTCCTTCTTCAGCCTATTACTTCCTCATTACTTTCACTTCCAGTATTTTATGAGAAGAATAAATCTTGGTGATTCATATAGGTCTGAATAAAAGCATTAAAGTTTATTAGCATTCAGGGTAGCATATTATTTTTTTTATCATTGGTGGGACTTGAATGTGTTGTTAGGCATTTATTTCAGACCTGCACATGTCTGAAAGTGGCAGAATAAATAGAAAAAAACCCAGTAGTTGTTGTAAATAGATAATGCAAAGAACAGTTACACTGTTCCTGATCCTTTGCTTTAACCACTAATGCCCATATTTATCTGAAATCTATTGAATATTTGAAAATCAGTAGCACACAAATTCTTCTGTGTTTCCAGCTGTCCACATTTTCTAACTTTCACTTATTTCCCTTCATCAGAATATATGCCAGGAGGCCCTTCTGGATGACTCTTCTCCCAGTTTACCCACTGAAGATACAGAGGGATTCCTCAATACAAACTTCCTTCCACTGAGCAGCTGCAGGAACAGAGGACGTGTAAGTCCCCAAGCCCAGATCTAGGTCACAGGGCAAAAGGTGACTTGATCCCACTTATTTGCTAAAAAATCCAGAGATTTCTGCCATCTGTCCCTGTCATGAAGATCCTTCCTCACTTCTTCGGGAGCACTCAGTACACTCGACTTGCAGTTTAGCCCTGGCAATGTCATTCTCTTCCTCAAGGAATGTAAGCTCTGGTCATGGATTTTATGTTCTTAGTCAGTGGAATGAATGACAAATAAATGTGCTGAGGTTTTCTAAGACTGCTACAGATTATCAGTTTAAATATGCACTACATTTTCCCTTTGTTGTCTTTCAATGTTTTGTCTGACAAAGAAACTCTATGAAAGCCTCATATATAGGAGAATTTTGTAAGGTAAAGAGGACAATCCAGAAGAATAAATTTCTCTAGTGCTGTATTTAAGTTTAAGAAATAAAATGCATGAAGTGCATTTTAGTATTCCAGGTGAAGTCCATAGCCACATCTATAATGTATTACTAGTGTTTGGATCAGATCATTAAAGGCATGGTAATTCTTGGTTTTAAATGATCTGCACCTCCCCTTCCACCAATGTTAGACAGGGACTGTCAAGGTGAATCTCAGCAACTACACTTGTCTGTAGCCCTCCAGGAAATGTCATCTTCAAGGGAAACTTTACCTGAGTTAGGTATCCAGGGACAGGACAGTGGACACTCAAGGTGGGGGGTTAATCTCTATCCTAATTTCTGAATACCACAGGTACGTGCATGAGTACACAAGGCCTGTAAAAGCTGGCACCAAGAATTTCCACAGCTGTGGCAATCCTGCCCCTTTGAATCCCTACATTCCCTCTGTGCAGAGCACAAAATGTCAAGTTCTCTAGAGATCCTCAAGGTGGAAAGTTCTCTCTGCTGATGATGGAGTTAAGTTGCAAAAGACGTACTGAAGAAAAACTTAACAAATACACTGTTCCTACTCACTAATAAATTGCAAAGAGCTGCATTTGCTTCTGCAATTAGGTGAGTACAGCACTCCGAATTTTGATCTAGAAGTTATTCTGGCATGCAGTGAGAACATAATTTCTGGGTGACTAAGAAATGAGGCACTGCTTGCTAAATTCCATCTTGAATTACAGTGAGGCGGTGGCTTACAATTCACTCATCAGAATAAATATTTTAACAATTACACTAAATTTGGAAATGTCCAATATGTGTTTCTCATCGTATTTCCACAGAATCTGAATCACAAAATGCCTCCAACCTCAAGCCTCTAGCAGAAAACAGTTTACTAGAATTTAAAATAAAATCTCTTTTCTAGATAGAAAACAATCAAAACTAAGCAGGATGGACTTAAAAATATGTGGAACAAAAGTTTTCAGGTAGTCTTCTGTATCTCTGTCTCAAGTGGTATTTCTTCATTTTAACCCTACTGCTCACTTTATGACCCATTTTTTCATAATTTCTAGATATCCAAGTGATCCTAAAAGGGCATGAATTAAATTTCAAGAGAATGGTAGAGACCCATGAGAACCACATACTTTTTACAGCCTGTAAAAATTGCACTGAAAAGGTTTCATGTTCAGAGCCCTTGTCCTCTTTTTGTGACTAGAAAATGTTTGCCAAAGGAAACTGGTAACAGTAAACTGATATTATGATGAGTTTTGGATTTTAATATTCATTTAGAACTTAAAAAGACCTGCCTACGATGACTGGAAGTATTTAAAACCCCTCACTTAGAAACTACTTATTGCCTGCTAATGTACTTTCATTGTCCATGCCTTTGTCATGAAGTTTTACTGCCCTGGCACTTCCTCCTACTGTTGCTTCCCAAACTGTTTGTAACAGACAGTTCAGTTCAGGATACACAAATAATTTTTACGGAAAACAATAAGGAAAAGAACACCGTGATGTCTGGAGATTTAGAGAAGGTCTGGTCAACTGGCAGTGACTAAGCAAGCTGTTGAGGTCAACAGAGATTAGTGGGAAATCTGCAATATATTATGTACTGATTAGGTTTAACCACATTTACCCTCCTCGGGGAAGGAGTTCAGAATCAATATATTGGGAAATGGCTATCAAGATATTCAACTGAACTGCAATTTAATGTGATTTAAGAATACTATATAGCACCATGGAAGTTGCTATAGAAACAAACACATTTTTCATATTTATAATAGAGTATGTGAGCTTAATCTGCTAGGTTTTAAGGAATCCATGGAAACCTGGAAGTTCAGAGTTCTTGCTCCACTGCATTCTTGCTTCAAAAGCACAGGGTTGTTCTTTATTTATTACCTTCATTTGTACAAGCCCAGTGGAATGTAATCAAGCAGTTCTGATTTCATCTAGTAAGGAAATGGATATTTCACATATGTGAAAGAAAACTCTTCAGGAATACACATATTGTAAAATGTTCTCTTTTTTTTACAAAGAAGAGTATACAAATGGCAAATTTACAGTCAGTAAGTATATTTGGAAACATGGACTGATACATTACAAGCAGATTAGTGCTATAATTCTTCTTTCTGTGGCTGGTTTGTGCTCAGTAAGGGATACTAAAGGAGTTGAAATGGCCTAATTCCTACGCTAACTAAGAAACTGCCCTCCTAACTGATTTCAGGAAATCTTCTGCAGCAAGGGAAGATCTGGATGAAGGTGAATCTGTTTAGATGGTTTAGGATGGAGAATGATTTGCCATTCCTAGCTCCAGAGTACATAATACTTGGAGAGTACCGTTCCCTGTGCAGGACTGCATTGAGGATACAGGAGACAGGCACAACGAATTCAGCAACTGTTTCGTTACACACAGGGCTAAAAAAGCCTTTAGGGAATGTTTACTTTGCCTCACCACTTTCATGAGCCTGAAATCGTTTATCTCTTGGTAACTTTAAAATATAAAACTAATGAAAAAGAATAGAGATGTTAATACTGACTTGCTTCTATTGCTAAATATTTTACTTTCAGAATTCAGCGTGGAGCTAATGAAACTTTTTTAAATTCCTCTGCCCCTTTTTATATTTAATTTCTGGATGTGTCTGAAAATATTTATTTTTTTAGTTTTCTCAAACAAATGTTCACAGATATACAAGCTCTGAGTAGGATTTTGATAAGGTAGATGATATAGAGTTGGTGAGTGCTGCCATTTCACCCTTAAACAGACTTACTGATACTTTTCCGTATCAGTGAGTCACTGACTAGTAGCTAACTGGGATGGAAACAGATGAAGAAGGAACTCTTGTAAAGCTCGTCCTTACACATCACTTCTCTTCTGTAGAGGCTTTACACAGCACCAGATAGAATTATTTAGAACATACTCACACTCAAATTTACATCTCAGATTTTACAAAACCTTAAAAAAACATCTTTGTCAAGATTTTAATGCAGTATCTCTATTTCCATATGACCATGGGGCTATCAAAACTGCTTCAGGCAGAGAAAAAAAAAGCATATTTTCCTCCTGGAAACATTCAGGAAAAGAAGAACTCTCAGGCCCTTTAACCTTCCTCTTGAAAAATTTTGATCCAAGTTTTTCAACCAGTCCTAGTGTAGTGCTATCTATATGAGAGAAAAAAACCAAAGATCAAATATCTGTGACTAAGACCTCACATCATATTGACCACCTCTTTATCACAGGGCTCAGGATAACAGTAACACTTTTGGATAAACTTGATTTTCAAGCAAAATTTTCAGTTTTACCTCAGAACACTTCAGTGGTCAAATACAATTATTTATGCTTAGAATAATTAATGTTTCTCATAAGGATTAAAGTGATCAGAGAGACAGTTTTTTAACTATAGCTAGCGATATTAAGAGCTGTGAAGACTCAAAAACATCCTTTATCTTGCAATAAAGTTGATTTATAGAATGATCTATTTGAATGGATTCCTGTAAGAAATATATCTTGTAAAACCCTTTTTCTGAACAAGTAATGGTTAGACTTAGTACAACCTTGGCTGTGTACATCTAAATATATGCTAAACTAGAGATAGGAAAAGAGGGAAAAATAAGGTACAGCTTGTATTGGAAGGTATTTCAAAACTTACTTCATAACATCTCCGTCCTTGCGTCATAAAACCTATATTCAACTGTCAAATGTCATTAAAAATGCTCACCACATAAAAGTTTTGAAGGCTGCCTGACAGTAGGATACTCCTGTTTGTATGTCTTCTGAAGAACTAACAAAATATAAGCTATCAAGTGTCACAACGGGGCCATGAAATGTCTTCTCTTCGAGTCACAGGTTCGTTGAAGTTGAAAGAGACCTTTAGGATGATCAAATCCAACCATCAACCCACCACCACCATCTTCACCACTAAACAATGTCCCCAAGTGCTATATGCACGTGTTTTTTGAACACTTCCAGGGATGGTGGCTCCACCATCTTCCTGGGCAGCCTGTTCCAATGCTTGAGTACCCTTTCCACAAAGAAATTTTTCCTAATATCTAATCTAGGTCTCCTCTGCTGCAACTGGAGCCCATTTCCTCTTGTCCTGAGGAAATGCACCAATTGCATCTCATGGAAAAATATAATCTAAATCAATATATAAGATTATATCAGAATATAATCTCAGTGAATCAGTAAAAACTGTAACTGAAACAACCGAAGATCTTAGATACTTGAAATACATAAAGTCTGTTAATATAAAGATGAAATGGGATGGTACACTAAGGTGACTAGATTTCAAAGTCAGTAAGCTTGAAAAGCAGAATATGAACTTTTTCTTTCTCTAATAAATGGAATATTCCAATTATTAAACTGATAAAGTCTTGCTGATTTATTCAATAATTGATCACAAACTGCTGGAATTATATTCACCAACTGAAAGTGGAAAAAAGTGTCAACAGGATAAAACTCTTTTCCTTCAACTACTAAAAGAAGGGATTTGAATTTGAATGATAAGGTAAAAGGACACTAATAGTTTTCTTTTTTTCTTTTAATATGAATACTTAATGTATAGATATTTCCAGTTAGGAGATTAATTCCTTTTGGATGTATTTCAAAAATCAAAAGACAGCCTGCAGAATTAATACTGAATTGTAGAGGAAATTTAATCTAATTTCATCGTCAAATATTTGTGATGAATACATGTTCAACAGCATTTCAGCTGAATGCACTGGAATTTGATTAACCCTGAAGTCCCTGCAGTATGGGAGAGTATGATCAAATTATCACCCATTTATAAAACTAAAGGCACATCATACTTGACAGCTTACTTGGTCTTGGTGTTGACTTAGTGGTCGAGAGTGGGCCAACTTCTCTGGCAGCCTTCTGTCGAGGATGTGTCCATTCTCCAAACGAGACTCCCTGGGCTTGTCAAACCAATCTGTTTCTTCTCGACGGAGATGGTAGGCTTTGAAAACCAAGGACAGGTCAAATGCTCTGATCCAGGGCTGGGCAAAGGGCAGTAATGTGCATTGTGCAGAGCAAACATGCAGAGTGGTTATCAGTTGGCCATGCAGCTAAAGCAAAGTTACAGGTGAGACTTGAGACATTGAACTTGAGCATTATTTAGCTGTGATACAGCAAAGGGAGAAGATTCTGTTTATGTCAAACCTATGGATATTAAATACAGAAGAAACCTGCTGCTGCTGAGTGCTATAGTCATCTTCCTTCAGGCAGCTCAGAAATACACTGCCGATTTCACATATCTCTAAAATGTTTGTTGAAAAAGAAATTAGTCAAATTAGTTACTGTGCAGTAGACTAAATTAAAAAAACCTAAGAAAACCCCAAAAAAACCCCAAAATAACCAACCCTCAAAACCCAAACTCCACTAATTCCCACGTTTCTGAACTGAATATTGGTTCAAAATACTTTAGAACTCCTTACAGGGAAATTGTGAATTCTTTGTAAAATCAGTATCAACCCGAATCAAAGTAGATAGGAAGCAATCTATGTAACTCTTTGTAATTGTAAGCAGAAATATTGCAAGGGTTCTTATTTTAAATTCCATCCCCTGATTTTGCAGTATGAACCTTTGTGTATGGCTTGTAAGCCAGCATGTTCTTCCTGTAATAATTCTACAAGTCTAATGTTCTTCTATTTGCAAGAGTTTTAAATCTGTATAAAATCCCTTTTGGGGATCAAATAACACTATTTCATTGAAATCAGTTCTAAAAATGCATATATTTATGTTACTGACTATTGGGTCAGCTGACATAGGTGTCACTCCATTTGGATCAGAATCATGTCCTATGTGTTTAATAATATTTCCACTATATAATATATATATATATCTCTGTTGCTTATCAGTGTAAACCAAAGCATTGTGCAGTTAATTAGAATGTAATGTAAGTTTGAATTTTATGCTTTATTAAGCAAGATAAATTTGGAAATCAAAGAAAGATCATATTTGTTTTAGTAAAACCACAAGAAAATGCAAATCTTGAATTAAGGTCAGTTATTGCCACAGTAACAAGAGTGTGTGTTGACGTGACACAGAAGAAAATTTAAAAGGAAAAATGGTAGTGTGCATAATCTTTCCTATTTAGTTGTGAAAGTAAACATAATCTAGCTGGTTTAACAAATAATTGGGAAAAAATAATGGGACAAAATTATTATTATTATTTTATTAAATTTCTCCCCCCAAAAAAGAGAAATAATATATATGCATGATTTTGGGAAAATACTATTTTTGTATGTGGTAAAAACAACACCCTGTATTATATTAGGCCTTCAGAAAATTCTTAATCCTGTTTCAGATATTATGCAGTCTCTTCCTTCACAACTGTGCACAAACTTAACCTAACAAGAAATGGTTTAAAAATATTATTTAGATCAGCATATAGGAATTACCTTAAACATTATTAAAGGTTGATGCTTGTCTGGCTAGTGATTAGTTATTGAATAACTGCTCTCAATAAACCATTATGATCTAATATACAAATCCTTTATGCTTTACACATTCATGCCAATTGACTAGTGCCTGCATACAGCAGGTTGGTTCATAACTCATCCTGACAGAACTTCTTACTGAAGCTTGCATGAAGAACCTAATGCATTTTACTGATCCCAGATGCCAGTGCTGACTATCACAATCTGTGTCATTAGCAGATGAAAGAATGATACTTTTTTTTTTCCTCCTGCCCCAGTTGAAATGACTTTTGCTGGATTTCTTCTTTTGAAAACGTAGAATTCCATATTGCAGTTCAAACCTGCCTACCTGTTTTTATCAAACTGCTGTAAATATGTGTATTTTATATGAAATTTAAAAAGATATGTAGGTGTATATGGACACACACACGCCACACTCACATGTACATACACACACCATTGGTTTTGGCTTACTCAGCTGGGATTTGATACAGCTGGAAACCTGAGAACGGCCAAGATGAATTACTGACAGCCTGAGAGGGGTCATCCTTTTATTCTAAGACTAACAGTATGCAGCCAGATGGTTCCACCTGTAAAAAACTCCTGCTGGAGTCAGTAAGGTCCCATGCTGTTAACTCCAAACAGCTTAGCCAGGTGATATTGAACTCCAGGCTGTGGAGTCCAGAAAACATGATTAGAGAAGCAGTAATGATCAATCTAAATCCCATAGATGAAAAATTACAAGGCATTGTCTGCGTTGATGTTTTCATGTCTCAATTTTAAACTCCTAAACCCTACCATATAATTACCAAATTAGCACATAGCAGAAAAAAAGAATCCTTTAGGTAAGAAAAGGTACATTTTATGTCTTCTGATATAAAAGCTGACCAGCAAGGACTATTTATATTCATAGAACTGAGTACTAGCTTCAGCATTCTTGAAAATTAGTATCTTCAACATACTTAGTAGCGTGTGGAAACTGTCAGCTAGGGGGTTGATAGAAACCTATTTGCTGGCTCAGAGCAGAGCATTCATGATATTGGGAACCCTGAGAAAATACCAGGTATTTCAAAAGCTCAAAATGAAATTTATTTTCAATGGGTAGCTCTGGATGTTGCGCTCTTTTGATACTAGAGGTGTTTTTTTAACCTGTTGGAAGTTTGGAATCCCAGTGTCAGTACTACTTGTGTGCTGAAGCATGGTTTTAAGATTTGTTACAGTATGTACTTAGTGAAAAACAGAAGGTTTAGTCTCAAAGTCTTACAAAAAATAAACAGAAATTCAAGCACATCTCTCAATTTGAACAGAAGAAAAACAATTTAAATTTAATACTTTGACTTAAATTCATGTTTAAAAGTCTCCTAAGATGATAAATCAAGCTGTAGCACAAGAAGAGTTTTCCTAAGTCAGTGCTTAAGACTGATTTCTTTTAATGAAATCACACCACCATGCAGCAGTTGGTTAAAAAAAAAAAAAAAAAAAAAAAAAAAAAAAAAAAAAAAAAAAAAAAAAAAAAAAAAAAAAAAAAAAAAAAAAAAAAAAAAAAAAAAAAAAAAAAGAGAAGCAGCAAAGTAAACTGTGTTAAAAGGCTGGATGAAACAGGTCAGAATACGTGTCCACTGTCAGGGCAACAAGGCACTAGAGAGAAGAGTGCAGTCCAGAAAAAAGAAGGCCATAACTTTCTATAGAACAGTAACTGCTTCTTTGGAACACTTTTTGTTTTACATCCAAATCATATGAATTATTTTCAATACAGGTTACTTGCTGTTAGCGTATTTGAAAATAATGTCATAAAGCGTTTTCATTTCCCAAGAAATAAACTATTTTTGAAGATGAAACCTTGAGAAAAATTAGAAAAAGATTGCTAACAAACGGGAAGCCCTAGTGTTCAGTGACATATCAGTGACATAGATTAATACAGAATATGTGAATGGAGTTAAAGTACTTCTGAGAGGGTGGGACTAATCAGAGACTAATTTAAAAGGAAAATATGTTCTACCTGAAGTGTTACATATATCTTGTAAAAATATATATATGCAAAACTTCTTGCACTGTAGGGCAGAAATATAATTCCCTATGACCTGTTTATATGAATTAGAATAGGGCCAAATGGGATTTTTTTGTTCTGTTTGGTTCTCCTTAGTCTTCAGGAGGAAAAGTTCTCCATATTTCACAATGTCACTCTAGAATGATCTTTAAAAGTCACAAGTTGAGATGAGACATGATAGCATCTACTTATTTAGGGATAATTATACAGTTGCAACTTGGGGAGCTCCTTTCAATTGTTTTCAGATTTAATTATAGGAATCTGGGTGCTAATTTAAGGACAATGTAAAGTCTTAAACTTTTGATAAAAATCAAAAAAGCTGATGATCCTGAGTCTCTCCTGAAACACAGAGCTCATGAGGAGGTTGTAAATATCTAGGAAATATGAAAAGAAACTTACAGAACAAAGACCTTAATATGTAGTATGAGAAAGGCAAATAGATCAAACTTCCTAATGCTTATGGAAGATTCAGCACGTGTTAAAAACCAAGAATGTAATAATGAATGGAGGTTAGTATAAACCTGAAAAACAAACCATTCTACTTCATAATCATGCAAATGTGTCTTTTGAGACAATCATTGCCATTTACAGACAATATAGCGCATGCAAAGTCTCTTTTATTGTGCAGTAAATACACATAAAAAGTTAAGGGAGCGCATACAATTTTGAACATATTAATTTCATTTTCTTTCAAACTGTCTTTATGAATTTTAAACAATTTAGAATATATTAAGCCTGAACTGACTCAAACAAAACTGATACATAATTTGCAGTTATTAAGTACTCAACATCAGCTTTAACATTCTGCTGTACTTATTCATAAGCAGCATTTTTAATTGCACCATTTATAATACATCAGAAATGTTCCTTTCATGAACCTAAGTAAGATAAACCCTTGTGCTTATTTGGCAGACATATGTATGGGGTGCACATAAAAGCAGCTACGCTGCATAACCCACCAATAGAAGTAAAATACTTTATGCAAGTTTATTGAAGGTTGAGATTGTCTTGAACCATCCAAATGGCAAATTATCTTACATAATCACAATTCTGGATGCACAGAAGTCCACATGACAGGATGCTTTCAAAAACCATATGTGGAATGTTATTTTGCTATCACGTTAGGCTCTACATGGTGCTAACATATAATATGCACTTAATGAACAGACTATTTCTATATAAACACAGATCTAAATTGGTGCATCAGGAGATGGAATTATCAGTTCCTGAATTCTATTATGAAATTTCATGCAAATAAAATTACTAGAGTTTTTTTTTAGAGATTTGGGAGAATATTTCCAAATCCCAACAAAAACTATTCAAAAAAGTTCAATGATTCACAGTCACTGGAGAAAGTTCCACATAAAGACTGATGGGAGGGTCTGTATTGTACATGGAGTGTTCTACACAGTATCATTGGAAAAGTAGACATAAACAAGTGAAAAGGAAAATGCACAAGCAAACCAAAAGGAAAGCAAATCAACAACAATATAGTGAGCATGCTATAGTAGCTTAACACCATCCAGAAACTGCTGTTAGGGCAAAATAAAAAATATCAAATAAAACAAAGCAAATCAAACCCCAGAAATGTAGATACACAGAAGATGCACCAAGGAACAGAAAAAGAACAAGTCTTTGAAGTATAACAAAAATTAGACACATGCATAGAAATGAGGATTTTGGTTGTGATAGTAAGATACCAGTCTGAGGCCTAAATTACCTTCACTGTCTGACATGGCATGCTGGAAGTCATCCATGATGAAGGCTATATCTCGATCATAGCCTCGAGTCCGTGACTCCTCCCTCATATGCTGCTGGACCTCAGGTAATGAATGGCTTGATCCAAACTGGTCCCTGGTATCTGCAGATATTGGTGGCAAGGGTCCAGCTGCTGCTCTTGCCATTCCCATTGGCTGTCCAACAGGACTAAGTGGGCTCTCCTCCTCTGAGTTCTGTGCTACTATTGGGATCCTTCCCCTGCTTTGGCTAATAGGTAGACTGGTAGGTTTAGTTCTTCCAGAAGGTGCTGCATGGCTAAAGGAAACATCTAAGGGTTCAGCTTCTTGGGCTTTCAGTCTTAAAGAAGAACTGGAAGAATCCCTTTTCAATGACAGATCGAGCCCATACACTGAGGAGGGTCTAGATGAGGGCCTAGATCTACTACCACTGCTATAAGACTTGTCTGCTTCATCTTGTAGAGTGGATCTCATTGTTGGACCTAGTGCAGTCCCAAGGCCTGCTCCAATGGAGGACGTCAGTGGTGGCCCCATGTATTTCTGTTGGTCACTGATGTTTTTTCTAAGGCCATAAGTAATATCATCCTGAAGAAGCCTTGCCCTAGTAGTAATTCCCCCAAGTGTTGAAGTGCTAGAAGTCATATAACTTGAATAGTCAGGCTCAAGGTCTCTGCTTTCTTGGATAGGTGAAAACTTTGTTAGTTTGGGGTCTATCAAAGCTTTCTTATGTTTTGACTGCTTCTGGTAAAGGAGGGCTGCTGGGAGCTGCTTAGCAGCCTGTTTCTCAAGAGTAAGCCTGCCTATGCTATATTTCTCAGATTTTGGAAAATGCCTGTAGCTGCCCTCTCCGTGGTAATACTGTGACAGGCCAGCCAGATGATCAAGACTTTCTGCACCTCTACGGAATTCTTGCTTTATCTGGTGTTTTAGAAGTTTGAGCTCATAGGGGTCCTCCATTGGGTCTTCATCAGCTTTAACATAGGAATGTAACCTAGAGGAAGTCTGCAGTGGTGCTAGGAAGTCTGACACCTCTTGTGCTCTCCTGGCTTCAGTTGTGCGAAGCAGTCGATCTGTTTTGGTCAGATCTTTCTCATGGAGGCTAAAACTGGAACCGAGTGCTCCTGTTCCTTTAGTAAGTTCTCCTATATCATCAATCAGCACATAATTTCGGGGTGTATGGTGGTGATCTATATCTGCATAGAACGAATCTGCAGATATGCTTGAGATAGGGCTGCTTGCTATGCTGTTTCTCTCATCTAGTCCTATCCTTAAGTCCAAAGTAGAGTATTTACTGCCCAGCTGGGAAACTGCATAACTATTGTCAGTTGAAACTGGTGCTATCATGAGAGGCTGATTGCGAATTACATCATAGTTTGTTGTTATCTTAGGCTCCAAATATAATGTGGTCTGTCTTGGCTTTGGCTGTATCACCATCATCTGTGATGAGAGTTGGTATGATGGCTGTTGAGATGGTGGAGGTTGAGCCTGTGGAGTATAGGACATAGTGGCTCCTGTTTGGAAAGCTGTCTGGGTCTGATAAGGTGAAACCTGCTGGTGATACAAAGGCTGCTGTTGCTGGTAATGTGATTGCTGTGTGAACTGAGTTGGTGCTTGAGTTGGCAGGGCAGGAGATGAATACTGATATTGAGCATATGGGCTTGTAGCAGGGGCAAACTGTGTTTCTGGTTGGGTTTGTGGTGGCATAAACTGGTTAAATTCTGTCTGGGGTGCAGTACGTGGTCTTTCCAAGCCATGCTGAGTTTCTATTCTGGTTGACCTGGTATTATTAACTTCACTGTCTGACATATAATCACGTTCTTCTGCTACTCCTTGGAGATAGGCACGCTCTCTCTTTTCTCTTTCTTTTAGCAGGGCTTCTTTCCTCCTATTAATGCCCATTTCCAAGTATCTCAGCTTGGCATCTATTTCTTTTTCCTCCTCATCTAGCTCTGCTTGCTTCTTCCTAAGCTTGGCTGATTCACGTTCGACCAGATCCAACTCCCTGTCTATATCCTGAAGAATTTTGGCTCTGGCCATAGTGGTGGTCCTACAAATCCTTCTCCGCGAAACTGATCCCACAGAAGTATATGGGGACTGAGTTCCTGCCGTTGCTTCCTCTGGAGGTGGGTTGGGCAGAGTCCTCTTCACCTTCTTCTGAGTGCCTGATGGAGTTATGCTTGAAGGACCTTTTGACTGCAATAGAAGAAACAAGACTGAATCACTATTTGGGAGGCAAATTATTCCCAAGTTGTTTCAATTTTTTTTCATGGAATGGCTTCATATCTTAACCACATACTTTCCCTAAGAGAGAGAAAAGCTTGAGGTATCTGTGAATAAAGAAGCAGGAAACGGCAAGAAAAAGTGCTGTCAGCCTGCTAAAGATCAGGAAGATGAGCAATCTAATGCAAAATAAGGGTGGCACTCACCAGGACTTTGTTCAGCCTAAGACTGAAAACTCTGCCTTATATTCCTGAAATTGAATTGACTGTAATTTAAGGTGTTTTTTTGTTTTTTTGTTTTTTTTTTTTGAATTTCCATATGCTTATACACAAACACATTCAAGGCATGTGTGTGTGGGATGGGAATACATATACATATACACCTCCCTTTTATATAAAATTTAATTAAAAGGTTGTATAATTAAAAACATACATACATACACATTTATATCTAAATTTATGTATAATCTGTACAGTCAAATAGGTGACTCTGAGCCAGACACTGAGATCACAGAAAGCAGCTATAACTTGTACTGAAATCCAGACACCATAGCAGCACTTTCTGGTGCCAACACATTTGGTACAACGGCAGTTGTTACATAATCTTTTAATTTTTGCCTCACCTCTGATGCTAAATATATGCATTTCAGGGGAGATCCTTATGCTTTACAAAACTGGTATGAGCTTTCTTCAGTTCACTGAAGACTTTCATAAGTGAAATTTGTTCCAGTTAGAAAGCTAGTTTAAAACTTTTAAAAAATCAACACTATAAAATTAAAGGACTTTAGTTCTGTCCAGATGTCCAGACTTCCCCACAGTTAATAGCAGAAGAGTGATTCATCCTGATCTTGGAGAAATATCTGCCTTAGGCTGATGAATCATTCTTTGAGGTGCCAATCTCTCTTCATCAACAAGGAAAGTAGGCAATGCAACTGGTTAGATGCAATTTAATTTGCACCCTAAATTACTATATAACTGTATTTCATAATTTTTTTTTTAGTTTTGAAGTTAGTTTAGGTTCCACGCAATGTAGATAGATTAAGAAGTGGGACCTGATTGATTTTGAAATTGTATCTTATCTCACTAATAGCTTCAGAGAAATTTTGCCTCAACAAAGGAAAATGGATTGATCTACATATATACACGAAAAAAAAAAAAAATCAGTTCAACCATTACAGAATGCAGACATGATGATAGCAAAATATGGAAGCATTTTATCTGAGTTTAATAAGCGAAGAATAAAAAAAAATATTAACCAATCCACTCTTCTGCCTTTACAGGTAAGGACAGCATTTCTGCAAGCATTAACTGTTTTTAATTAAAAATGGAATTTCTTTTAAAATAAATGCTACTTCTCTCAGATAAGAAGTCAACAAAATTAATTTTAATTAGGAGTTTATAAATCAGTATTTTCTCTGTTTATTCTAATATGGCATCAAAAAGCTGTAAAAGCTTTTAAAAAAGGTGCTGATAATCCCCTTTTGCTGCTCCTGTTACCTAGCTTTAGCAAATTACAACACTCAACAAATCATTTGCCATGGGACTTTAAAGAAACATTCGCTGCATTTTCAAATGCCATTTCAGCTCTTTCATTTTCTTCATCTAAATTCCATCAACTTTTGCATGTTTCAGATTGCAGTAAAAGGAATTTAATCTTTTCAGCTTCCCATGGCCATTTCCCAAACCCATGTTGTGCCAACAAATCAAAGGAACTAATTTTCTCTTGCTCAGTGTGTACTTATAAGCAAAGACAAATTAATCATCTACAGTAGGTTTAGTTGGCTAATAATTTATATTGTAAAAGCAGTGTAATACCACTGCTATTTCCCCCTCCTGAACTGAAATAGCAATCGCAGATGGTGGAGCAGTCACAGATGGTCACTGGTATTGGGAAGAGCTATTAATAACGAAGTCATTAAAAGGTTTACAAAAATTTATGTAATTAATATTTTCAGATGATAGTTAAGCTGTGGATTAATAAATTCCAGTGTCAGACTATTACACATTTTATAAAAACACCCCATATCTTGTTCTTATATCTGTCTGTATCTAAAGAATCTTAGAATAATAGACATTACAGGAAGATTCACCACTTGCTTTTGAAAAAGTATTGATAACCTCTAGTTCTCAGTTGCTATTCTCAAAAAAGGCAAGTCTTAATTACTTTCACTTGATATTTATATTGAGAGAAGAAAAAAAATTGTTTTAGTGCTGAAATAAAATGCGCGGCTTTTTCTTCTTCCTGGATGGTACCTGGGAGCTGTGTTAGTAGATTGAAGGGAAGTTTACCTGCAGTATTTTGACAGACAACTTTAAAGTAGCTGTTATTAGTTTTTGCATTTCCTTTAATTTGTTAAATAGCAGGGGAAAGAAAAATCTTTGCCAAATTCTAATCTCTTTATCAAAATAATTGGGAGTGGAAGGGAATAATTTTGCTGCCTAGTCCTATCCCTGTATTTTTGGTCCTTGCAACATATTTATAAAGTTATACTCATTTTACATTCGAATTACACAAAGGAAAGATGGGCAGAAACCTTCATGAGACTACTCTGGAGTCACATAAACTTATCAAATACAAGCAGGCATTCTTAGACCTTACAATCTCTGGTTAAAGGTTAAGTTAGATGTCAGGCAGGTGACCGTAGCAAGCTCTCTGACTGAAGAAGCCATGAAGTTTTCTACCATATTTTATCACATTTTCCATCATCTTAATTCTAATCAGTTTACTTCTAGCTATCTATCACCACCCTCACTAATTTTTTAAAATCATTCTGTGTTTAGCAAATCATCACTCTAAATGTTGACTGTGAACCTCAAGAACTACAAGTAAATTATTCTGTTTCTTGTTTCACCATAGCATTCATATAAACGTTACTATCTTATTTTTGATCCTCGTATAATTTCACACAAGTCTGAGATGTCCCTTCAGGATGGACTTAGTGATAATCAGATCTGCTTTGAGGCAAAGCTGACCTTGTTAAAATAAGTCCAAAGCTTGTGCTTGAGATAAAGCTACAGAGATGTTCTCCCCAATATTACAAATTAAAGAACCGAGGAACAAACAATCCTTCCCTCCCCCCACCATTTTTTAAGCTTAAAAATGTTTTGAAATAAAGGTAGGAGAAAGAATGCTCACTTTTGCAGTTCAGTGACAAGATAACATTGCAGTGAAGAAATCAAAACACTGAGCTGAAGGTTACATGCAAACAGATTTAGCAAAACCTCCCTTTTTTGCCTTGTCAATACAAATTAGTCTTGATGTGGGCTATCTTCTGAGTTTTAATTTATAGAGGTCATCCAGATAAAGGCTTGTGAACTCTCTTAAATTGTGTGGTGACTTTGGAATAACTCCTTTGAGATGACCATACTATTCCTTGTGAACCTTTTAAAAAATACCTTTTTCTACCTATTTTTGTCTTTTCCAATTTGCTGTAATTGTGGATAAGGTCAGAAGTATTTGAACCCACTATAAGAATCAGTCAAATACTAAGAAATACTCCTATTTTTCTGCTTCATGTTTTAAAGAGATAGTTTATTTTGGGAGACTGAATGGCTCAGGATACCTGTGATGAATTTCTGCCTCTAAATACTGTTTTTGATTCTAGTTACTCCATCTTTCTTGTCCTCTCCTCAAATGAATTTTTGAATGTGATATGCTGTTGTTCATGTATCCTCCCCACTCTCCATTCACATAGCTGTGCTTGGATATTAAGTTCATTTGCTCAGAGAACTGAGGTTTCACACTTGAGCATACAAATCTTACATACTTGCACATTTGAATTTTAGTAATAAAAATGTAACCCTCATTATTCATTGTTCTTTTAACATTTTCTGTGATCACAACACAAGCAAAATTCAGCTTATTCTCCTGTCCTCTTTAGAGCTGAAAAATAGACCTGTTTTTTTTGTTTGTTTGTTTTGGTGGGGTTTTTTTTGGATATGAGTAGGGAAAAATTCTGCAAATGTTGTATACAATATGTATACATATATTCATATGCACAAACCAGTAACACTTGTGATGACAGCATCCTTATTAGTTTGCCCCCACTAGACTATGTAATATACAGTGATGTCAGACTTATAATCTGTGATGTTACAGAAAGCAAAGTGGGTCAGAGCTGAGGTTGCTCCTCTGCCACAATCCCTTGAAGACTCAACAGCATGGTGGAAATCCTGTTCTACAACGTAAAGGAACAAAAACTCACTCTCTGCAGGCCTAGATTTCCTGAACCATTTGATGTTGATTTGCAACACACTTGAAATGTCAGTAGAAAAAAATCTGTACCCTGATTTTTCTGTTACCAGAAAAACAATGCAAATAATATTTTTTGTCTTCAAACAAGGACCATGCAGTCAATAAACTTGCTTGGAAAACTCACGAATAGCATCAGTTTGAGAGACAAACACGGATGTGTTAAAAGAAATTACTGGGAATAAACTGTTTGCATCTGATAAGATGTCAGGTAGTCATGGGACAGAAACTACTCCCCCAGTCTGGAAGAAAGATCACTTAAGGTGGGGACCAATGCAGGTTGTTAAGGCAGCAGTGGAATGGCAGGTGAAGCCTGTGTTGTAGCTCTGTGTGTTCCACTTATCACAGCTTGGATTTTTCATGTAAAAAAAACCTTCCCAAATGCAACCCCTCTAAAGCCCCAGAACATACAATAAAAATTTCAATTGTAATGAAGTTGTTCTACTTATAAAGGTTTGGAATGTGTTATTCAGTATTACAGCATGTGCTCTTCATTCTTAGAAATGCATCAGAAAGAACAGCTAGAGATTCTGGCAATTCATTATTTTAAACATTTAACTTACTACAAAGAATCCAAATGATTCTGTTATCATTTATTAAAGACCTCTCGGTAATTTAACAGAATCTTTAAAATTGATTGAAAATGAAGCCTAATTCCTAAAGATACTAACATAATACAATAGTTTTAGATTACTTCATTGTAAGTTTGGAATCCTTAACTG